GATGGGATGGGGGGAAAGAGCAGGTGGGGAGGTAGAGGGTGGGATACGCCCTGGGAGCTGGGGCGTGGGAAATGGGGGGAGGGATGGATGTTATTGTGGGAAATAGGAAGAGACACGGTCATGGGAAATAGGGAGGGGGGGTATGGTTGTAGGAGATGGGGAGAGGGAGGTGTGATGGTCATGGGAACAGGGCAGAGGGAGGGACATGGTCGTGGAAATGGGGGAGAGGAAGATGGCCATGGGAAATGGGGAGAGGGAGATGTATGGTTGTAGGAACTGGGGAGAGGGAGGGGTATTATTATGGGATGTGGGGAGAGAGAGTAGTGGTTGTCATGGGAAATGGGGAGAGGGTTGGAGGGACATGGTCATGGGACCTGGGCATAGGTGTGGGTTTTATTGTCGAAAGTAGGGAGAAGGAGGGATATGGCTATGGGGAATGGGGAGAAAGGCAGATGGTCATGGAAAGTGGGGAGAGAGAGGGAGATGGACCTGGGAGCTGGGGATGGAGAGGGAGGTGGTCATGGGAAGTGGGGAGAGGGAAGGGTGTGGCCCTGAAAACTGGGAGAGAGGGAGGGACCCAGCCCGGGAACTGGGGGTGAGGGAGGATGCTGAGGCAGGCACAGCCCTCGGGTGCAGGCAGAGGGATGAGCAGAGTGCCCCAACCCTCCCGTGTGGCACTCTCCCGACTTCAACCTGGGGAGACACCCCCTCTCCCCCTTCCCCAACATGCCTAGCTCCAGGCACCCCCTCACCAGACGCACCCTCGTGGCCAACAGCCCTCGTTTAGGCACGGCTGGTACTTCTTTGGCAGGACACCGGACGCTTGTGCGGCCAGCTGGGCTCTGCCAGCTCCATCCCAAAATAGACCCCCGAGGAACGTGCCCCTCCGAGGGGGCCCAGATGTGAGTCAGAGCTGGGGGGGTGGACTGTGGGGACACGCGGGGGCGGCGTGGCTGGGAACATTGAGGATGGTGGCAGAAAGGGCTCGGCATGGGGATGGCGTCTCCTGGGGTTGGTGCCAGCCTCACGGGGTGATGCCTCGGTGCTGGGGATCACTGCAGGCCAACAACCGGGGCCGGTGTGTCATGCTCCCCCTGTCCCCAAACCATCCTGGCCTACATCTGGGGGTCTGGTGCCCACAGCCTGCTCCCAGTCCTTGCCCCATGCCCCAGCAGGAGCCAGATGGCACATAGGTGGTTGAAACTGGAGCTGTGAGATGCTGAGTGGGTGGGATGGGGGGGATGACATGACAAAACTGATCTGCCCTGCCCTCTCAGGGAAGTGGCACTGGAGAGGGGAAACTGAGGCAGGTGGAGGGATGCCCGTGACTTGCTGCATCCTTCTGGGATGCCACCACGGTGGGATGAGGGGTCACAGCCGGGCTGGGACTGTGCTGGGGGTGGGGGAGCAGGTGGCATGTGGCTGTGGTACAGCTAGGCTCTGTCACTGGTGGGAGGTGTCCCTGCCTGTGCCAGGGGGGTGGAACTGGGTGACCTTTAAGGTCCCTTCCAACCCAAACCAGTCCGTGATTCTGTGATTGCTGGGCTGTGTCATGGCATGACCAGGCTGTGTCATGTTACTGGGCTGCATTGTGACATGGTCAGGCTCTGTTGTGGCATGATGGAGCTGTGTCATGGCATTGCTGGGCTGTGTCGTGACATGGTTAGAGCTGTGTTGTGGGCTGACGTGATGGCATCGCATGGGGGACAGGGACAGGGGGACAGACAGGACATTGCATATGGGGACAGAGAGGCATCAAGGAGCAGAGCTTGGTGAAGCAGAGAGCTCGGTCTGATGGAGCAGCAGCATTATGAGGAAGGACAGACAGACAGGATGGAGTGGTAGCACCGTGGGGAAGGACAGACGGACAGGGTGGAATATTGCGCATGGGGACAAGCAGAGGTGGTGTGGGGCAGCCACCACGGACTATGGGCATGGACAGAGAGCATGATGCATGGCGTGGCGGGGTGGACAGACAGCCCAAGAAGGTACAGCCAAGATAAGAAGCTAGGCATGTGGGGACAGATGGACCGAGCACTGCGTGGCATGGAGGGATGGATGGACAGATGGACAGACAGTGTGGAGGGCAGCTTGCAAAGACTGATGGACACAGTGTGGTGCTGGGTGGACAAGCAGCATAGGGACAGAGAGTGCAGAGCAGCATGCTGTGGGACAGCCAAGAGGCCTGCACATTGCTTCCCCACGCTGCATTGGGTGCACCGAGCCTGCTGGACTCAGCACAGCTCAGCCCCCACCCCCAGCTCCATCCGTCCATCTCTCTCCCCAAGCAATGCCTTGTCTGTCCCACTGTCTCCAGCTCTATCCTGTCCATCTGTCCCCCCATCCTCAACTCTACCCTATCTGTCTGTCCTCCCACACAATGCCCTGTCTGTCCCTCTATCCCTAGCTCTATCCTGCCCTGTCTCTCCCCCCATTCCCAGCTCTACACTGTCTGTCTGTCCTCCATCCCCAGCTCTGCCCTGTCCATCTGTCCTCCACCCCCGGTTCCATTCTGTCTGTCCATTCCCCCATGCAATGCCCTGTCTGTCCCCCCACCCCCAACTCCATCCTGCCCTCTCTCCCCCTGCATTCCCAGCTCTATCTACCCTGTCTGTCTGTCCCCCATCCTCAGCTCCATCCTGTCCGTCTGGCCCCCCATGCAATGCCCTGCCTGTCCTGCCTATCTTTGGCCCTCGGCACGCGTTGGGGCTGACACATGTTCTCTGGGCGCGAGCGGCAGAGATTAACACGGGCTGGCGGTATGGGAGCGGGCAGGAAAGTCTGAGTCACAGCTCCCGGTGCCAGGGGTGGCCGTGGGTCTGGGGGCACCCAGCCGTGCCCCGGGAGCACCCGGCCCTCTGGGACACGCAGTGGGGGACACAGGTGAGGCACTCACTGCTCCTGGGCTGCTTGGCTGTCCCTGTGCAATCCCGGGGGACACTAGACCCTAACTTCTGCTTCTGGCTTGCTTGCATGGCTCTCTTGGCTCAGCCCCACGGCAGTGGGGGGGGGTGTGGTGGAGGGACAGGCTGGTTGTCACGGCTCTGCACACCTGGAGGTGCCGGTGACCTCGCTGCGGCTGTGCTGGCACAGGCAGATGCAGGTGGTGGGATGGGAGAGGGGTCCAGGGTCCTGCTTTAGGGCTGGGGATGGAGGACCATGGGGTCATCTCTGACCCATTACAAAGGGGAGGAGGTGGGGGAGAGCCAGCCCTGACCCCTTGCAACGGGGTGGTTGTAGGGGGAGAGATGGAGCCATGACTGCTGCTGTGGGGTGCGATGTTCAGCTGCCTGTCCCTCCTCTGGGAGGTTACAGGGCTTTCTGCCTCTCCTTTGGGGTGTGATGTGGGTCTGGCCCTCCCTCCTACATGAGGACATGGGAGCTCAATGGAGTGAGCATCCCAGCTCCCTGTTGCCCCTGTCAGGGGTGCACAGCACCACGGGACAGGGGCATTTTGGGGTCCCCATGGGGCTGCACCTTCCCACCAGCCAGGACCCCCATGCATGCACAGTGCCTGGCGGAGAGGGGCAGAGCTTGATCCCAACCAGGAAGACTGTGGAGAGAGCTCCTGGGGTGGGACTGGGCTGTACTTGAATTGGGCTGGGCTAAACTGGGCTGAACTGGGTTTGACTAGAGAAGACTGGACCAGGCTTGTCTGGGCTTCACTAGACTGGGCAGGGATGGACTGGGTTGGGCTTGGATGGCCTGAACTGGACTGAATTGAACTGGACTAGACTGAGATGCCTCAGACCAGGTTGGTCTGGGCTCCACCAGGCTGAGCTGGGCTAGACTGGACTGGGCTAGACTAGGCTGCACTGGGCTGTCCCGACAGGATGCCCTGGGGCGATGAGGCCGGTGCTGATATTGTCCCCCCATGCAAGGGGCTGGGGATGGTGGAGCTTTGCAGCAGCCTGGGGGGTTTGGCTGTCCCCAGGGCCCATGGAGGAGTCAGATGAGGATGGGGAGGACAACGAGGAGTTTCTGGAGAGGCTGATAGCACAGACAGGCCGGGAGATGCCGCAGCGGGAGCTGGAGGAGCACTACGCCGTGCTGGAGGAGCTGGGCAGCGGGACCTACGGCCGCGTGGTGCTGACAGAGCCCCTGGATGGTGGTGAGGGGCGCTGGGGGAGGGAGGGTGGGAACAGCGACCCTGTTGCTGTTTGGGGAACCTCCTCCCCAGGTGTGCACAGATGTGCACAGCCCCACTGCTGCCTCCGACCCAAACCCCAGCTCTGCCCAAACCGTCCCTGTCTCTGCTCCCCCTCGGTGCCCCAGCTGCTGGTGACCTCTCTTCGGCCCCCACCCTCCCATTTCCCAGGCCCACCGGTCGTCCTCAAGCTGATGCTGAAGGAGCGGACGGAGTGGCGGGCATTCCTGCGGGAGTATTGCATCGCCCTGTGTCTCTCCAGCCATGCCGCCTGCCTGCGTGCCCTGCCCATTGCCTTCGAGAGCACCACGCACTTTGCTTTTGGGCAGGAGCTCGCTCCCGCTGGGGACCTGTGTGCCCTCCTCAACCCGGGGGTGCGTGCTGCCCCGGTGCTCTGCTGGAGCAGGGTGGGGGCTAGGAGGGGTGGGAGGATGGAAGAGAGGGTGCCAGGAGAGCTTTGCAGTGGGCGCAGTGATGCTGTGTGTGGGGAGACCCTTTGCAGTGGGGTGCACGGTGGGGACGCCTTTTGCAGTGGATGCAGTGACTGTCTGCAGGGAGACACTTTGCAGGGAGCACCCGCTCACACTGGGTGGGCAGACCCTTTGCTGTGGAGTGCATGCCCACAATGTGCATGGAGAGAGACCTTTTGCAGTGGGTGCAGTGACACCGTGTGCAGGAACACCCTTCGCAATGGGGTGCATGGTCATGTTTTTTGTGCGGAGACCCTTTGCAGTGGGGTGCAATGACACTGTATGCATGGGAAGGCCGCTTGTGGCGAGCACCCGCTCCCAGCATGCAGGCACAGCCTTTGCAGCGGGGTGCATGCCCACAACGCACACAGGGGGAGACCCTTTGCAGTGGGTGCAGTGACACTGTGGATGGGAGAATACCCTTGTAGTGGGGTGCATGCTCGTGCAATGCGTGGGGAGCCCCTTTGCAGTGTGGGTGTGGTGCTACGGGCTGCTGTGGGGCAAAGCACAGGTCAGCGGTGCCAGGTGGGGTCTGGGTGCTGCAGCAGTCCCTTCGGGGAGGCGGCAGTGGGACAGGAGATGGTGCCACCCTGCCTGCAGGAGGGCCTGGCAGAGGAACTGGTGAAGCGCTGCGCATCCCAGCTGGCCGAGGCGCTGGACTTCATGCACAGCCGTGCCCTGGTGCACCGGGACGTCAAGCTGGACAATGTGCTGCTCTTTGACCACGAGTGCCGGCGGGTGAAGCTGGGTGACTTCGGACTCACACGCGTGCAGGGCTCGGCAGTGGGTGCCATGTCTGGTACTCTGCCCTACTCCCCTCCAGAGCTCTGCCTGCTCCAAGGCTCCGACACACTGGAGCTGGACTCTAGCCTGGATGCCTGGGCCTTCGCCATCCTGCTCTTCTGCCTCTGCACCGGTTGCTTCCCCTGGGCCATGGCCGCCAGCTCAGACCCCGAGTTTGAGGACTTCAGTGCCTGGCAGGGTGGCACAACAGGACGGGGGGTACCGGCATCCTGGCGAGGCTTCAGCTCTGGGGCTCTGGAGATGCTCCGGCGCCTGCTGACCCTAGACCCTGACCGCCGGAGCCCGGCCATCGAGGTGCAGAAATACCTGTCCCTGCCCTGGGTGATGCCTCCAAGTGCTGGGGAGCTGGTGCTGAGCAGCTCCCAGCCCCCCCTTACCAGCAGCACAGGGGAGAGCCTGGGGGGCACCGGGGAACGGGATGTTGCCAGTGGGGGAGTTGGGGTTCCTGCGCCCCCCGCTAACACTCTGGCCCCACGCCGGTAGCCAGCATCTCCCCTCCATCCCGGGGCTGGTGTCGTGGCGGGCCCTCCCCGGGGGTCTGGGCTCCCTCTCTGATGTCCAAGGCTTTTGGTGACTGCAAGAGTGGGAAGGAGAATTGAAGCCTTGGGCAGCACGTGGAGGCCCTGCCACTGGACACCCAGCACCTTTGCAAATTGATGTCACTTGGTGGTGGTGTCAACAGCCCACCCAAATGACTGTTGCACAGCTCTGAGGTACACGGGAGAAACTGAGGGCAGAAGCAGCTCACGTGGTAACAGAGAGGAATGGCAGGAGAGCAGCTAACTAGAAATTAAACCTGTTAGGGCCGATGGGAGATCTTGTCAGGGACAAACAGTGAAACTGCTCAGCAGAGAAACACGGGAACACGTCTGACCTTGACCTTCTTCCTGCACAGTAGTGAGGGGGAGGTTGTCACAGGCTGCTGTTAATTAGGGAAGGTGTTAATCAGCCTCCTGGGGGTAACTGCTGTAATTAGGGAGAGATGTTAACCAGACTCCTGGGGGGTTAAGGAGCTGGGGAAACAAATGTTAAGCCCTCAAGGCATGAAGCTGAACTGGAGTGTGATGGGGCTGGGAGGGGCTGCCAGGTGGATCTCTAGGACTTGAGATACAACAGGACAAACCTGAGATCAGGCTCTGGGTGTTGTAGGAGGGGGGTGCATGTGAAAGTGCTGCAGTGGCTGCAAATATTCTCGTCTCCAGCGCGAGAGGGCCTGGACAGACTCCGGAGGACAGTCTGTGGGGTGAGTGCATGGTTTGGAGACTGGACAAACACCTGCCCAGGCTCAGCCAGCCATCTGGTCCCTGCTGGCTTTCCCACCGGGGCTGCTTGGCAGCTGGGAGGAGAGCAGCAGGGGCCTGCAAGCTTTGGCACGTAACCTTGGTGCCACACCACGTGCAGGCAGGGCTCTGCCTGCTTGCCCATCCCGGGGCTCTCCTGCACCCCTGTGAGCACTCCACACCTCTGTGCTGTGATGTGGGGCTTCTGGAGCCTCGACCTGGGACCCCTCCACGCTCTGCCTGGGGAGCCCGTGCCCACCCCTCCCTGGAGATCCCCAACAGAGGCTGGGGGACACTGTGCTCTGCCATCTCCTGCATCACCAACCCTGGTGCAAAGGGGAAAGCTAGCTGAGATGCTGAAGCTTAATAAAATTCTGTGTTGCTTTGCCCTTTTTTTTTTTTTTTTTTTAAAACTGTGTTTTCCCATGAGCCTCCTGCTTGAGCCTTAAATCCTGCTTTTTCTCCTCCCTGGGGACAGGCAGGCTCTGAGCAAAGGGGGTCCAGCCCTCCTGTAAGAGTCGGTAGAACATCAGCATTGTCTCACCATTGCCATCAGGGACACGGACAGTAAGGTACCTGACAAAGGCCTGTTTGGAATACAGTTGCTGATCTCGAGAGTGGAATGTGGTGCAAAGGCTCCTGACTACAGAACCATGTGGCACAGCGAGTGCTGTGCTGTTCTCCCGAGTACTGAACCGTGTTGTGCTCGGTGCTGTTCCTCAGTATCTGAGCCATGTGGTACAGAGTGCTGTGCTATTGTCTGGTACCTGAGCCTAACTGGAGTCATTAGAGATGACTGCACAGCTCCCATTAGTAAAGATGGATTGGAACTGTTGCCGTAACATCGATGAAGAAACCGTGAACTTTAGATGAACTTTGCTTCATTATAATACCAAAATTCACCTCCTGGTTGAAGCCTGCCTGCCTCTAAGACTGACCACACCTCAGACAGTCCCCTTTGAGCATGTGTGGGAGCCCCGCTCTAGAAGGATGGGGATCCCCCAGGCAGAGGAGGAGCAAGGTGTGTTACTAAGCATAAAAGATGACTGCTGGGCAACGAAAATTTGAAGCTTCCCCACCAAGGATCATGATGACCGATGACAGAGCATTAGCTGGACTCGGAACTATTAGGGAGTCGAGATCAGCGGTGGTAGCTATAACCTCTCTCCTTTCTAAATTTTACTTTTCCCCTTTCTTTCACCCATCTCTAACTATTATGCGCCGCTTCATAGGCAAAGCAATCCCCTTTGCTGTCGGTTGCCTTAATTTTGCACTTTTGAGATCGTAGTAAATGAACCATCACGAGTCCGAATTGTGCAAAGGGGGCATCGTGCGAGGGACAACCAAGCACCCTGGATGATTTGAAGGAGTGTCTTGGGGACCTTATGGGTGCAACCTTGCAGCATCTGCCTGTTATCAGCCACGAAGCAGCTGGAACTGCAGTGGAAATAGCATTGGCTGCATCTGTGGGGACAGGATGGGAGAAACCTCCTGGTCTGAATCCCCCAAGCTCATCTCTAGGGGACTGGGAAGTAGAAATCCCTTGTGGTCTCGAGATCTGCAGGATATGGCTACTTAAGAGGCAAACCCTCCCATTTCCAGCCCCAGGATCATGGTGAGGGGGACTGTGGGGGGGACACGCTGCAAGACCCTTGGGCCAGTGGCTAGCACAACGGTTTACTGAGATATCCAGAAACGGTGTGCATGGGCACATACCCCATCAAATATGTAGCGTCTCGGTGTATCCAGCGGACCCTAAGAGCACTGTTCAGGGGCAGCCCAAGCCGAAGCATCTTCCCATCACCTCTACTCTCCTCCTTCCCTGATTGGAGCTAATTTGGATACAAGACATTAGAGCACATTGGCCGTTTAACTTATGGGCTTTGCTGAAGAACAGGATTGCTCCTAACTTCTCATTCGGGGTGGACTCTAATAGGAAAGACAGGAAGACCACACTGGGGGGACAGTGGCACCAGTGGACAACTGCAGCTATCAGGCTCTTGGCATTGTTGGAACACGGGGCAACATGAGAACGAAGCATCTCAACCGCTTCTGTAGTCAGCGGAGCTCCCACGGGGCTCTTGTGGGGCAGGTCTTAGGGGTCATTTGTGGCTTGTATTGACCCACAAGTCTTGTGCAGGCCAACCTTGCAGCACCTGCCTTGGGCTGAAGCTGGTGGGGCAGTTTGCAGCTGAAAGACCAGACGCAGAGGCGATGCTTAGGACAGACTGCCTGTTTCCAGGGTTTGGGAGATTAAACTCCCTCATCTTTGTTTGCATTCATAAAACCTACTGAAAACGAGGGGTTTGCACTCAGGAGAGGTCGCAGAAATTCCAGCTCCTCAAACACCCATCTGATGGTCCTGGTCTGTTGGCATCGACACTGGGGACTTCCTAGGAACTGCTCAAATCCCAGTGTCAAACAGTCAAAGCCGGGTTTTGGCTGCTTTTTTTTTTTTTTTTTTTTTTTTTGTGTGTGTGTGTGTGTGTAGGTTATTTTTGTGTGTGTGGTTTTTGTTGTTTAATGGTTTTTTTTAACTGCTTTTCTGAGAAATGGAAATTACTTGCAAGGTTTGCCATTGTAGGCAGATCCAGGGTTGCAGAGTTGTGTTTCTAAACCCCAGAATTTATTCACTGGGATAAAATATAGGTTACTGTCAGGGCCATTGACTTAATATCATTTCTCTTGATTGTTTTTGATTAATTGGTATTTTTCCTCAGTTGACTCCCTCCTCAGATGATGAGGTAAATGACAGAGAAAAAAAAAATAACATGTTTCCTATAAACTGAAGATTTATCTTGAGATTTGTAAGATGTTACTGCAAAATCCTAAAGTTATGTAAAGGATCTGGCAGTTCAGGACTTCATAACTGCCTTACAGGAAATGACTGCTGCTTGCATTGAAACCGACCCTTCTGTAACAGTCATGCTATTGGTTTTCAGATTCTGAAAAACTCCTTTTGACTCAGCTGTGAGCCCATCCTGAATTTAAAGCAAAGTACCTGCCTATCCTCAGTGACCATCAGGAATGGATTTCTTTTTAAAATTAAATATTCATTAAAATATCGATTGCAATATTTAATAGTATTTTTTAATCACTCTAGGGGGAGTTGGTTGAAGGTAGCATCCCTTCACTCTATTTCCCTCCAACAAAGACTCCTCTAAGGAACAATATCCCAAGGGGTGCTCAGAAAAGGACCCCCATCCTTCACACTGATACTGTTTAGTCAAGTTGGAAATGGCAAAGGCCAGTGCATTGTGCTTATAGCTGCACTCTCCACCATGTACAGGCATCTTCTTTCCAGATGTGCCTGGCTGCAGTGCCCATGGATGAAGGGTTTATCCTGCCAAGTAAAGGAGCTCTTCCTCTGATCCCCTCTCGCTGTGTCCACCTCTTCCCGCAGTGACTGCGTTTGTTTCTGCAGCCCTTCTCTGGTCAAGCCAGGATCTGCTTGGCACAAATTCAGTAGTGGCATCTCATTTTGGAAGCCGTGGGCTTTGATGCTGAATATTTTACTGACACTGCTGTTCATGTAAGCCACAAAGGACATATTCTAGCCTTTCTTCAAACCACAGTCGTCGTCTTTGGTTTTTTTCCAGGCTCTGGGCTCTGAGTGCACATGAAAATAGAGCTGACAAATTTCCCCCTGAAAACTGGGGCATCTTCTGCCCCCGACGAAGAGAAGATGCTACGAGCGTGGACTGAAGTAACCAGAAAGGTCATGAAACTGCTGATTTTGGTACCTTTCCCTCTTTTTTTCATTGGTGGAGGATGCCTGGAGCCCAGGCTGAAGTGAGATGCCTGGGATAGCAGGCTGCACTTTTTTGTGCAAATCTCAACGGTCTAATTTTTAAAAGCTCACCTATCCGACTATCTCTGATGGCTTTAGGTGCGTAGCAGTTTAACCCTGTTACAGTTGCCCATACAGATGCGGTGTGTGGAGGGTAAGCATTACCCAAACCGTTCACTACTTCAGCTGCAGTCACAATAGATGTCCACCCCCTCGGGGTCTGGCACAGGCCACCTGCCAGGCGTTCCAGTGGGCTTACCCTTCCCTTCCCTTGGTTGATTTCTGACAAGACAAACCTTTGTTTCGCTGCAAAGCCCACAGGTGCTCATGAGATGGTCTGCTTGCTGCTTACTCACATTAGTCCTACGAGCCAGCGTGTCCCAACCCTTCCTGCAACCATCTACCCAACCGCTCAGGGCTCAAGGCAGAAGAAAGTGCTCCCACACTTACCCCGCTAAGTTGCGGGCCATGTTGCCGCATGAGCGGTACTTTTCTGGCATGCTACTACACCTCCTATAGGAAGAAGACCAAAGTTAGCAGTATCATACATTTGTTCCCAGTCTTCCCTTCTCCATTCCCTGTCTGCCCAGTTTCCTGGCCGTGGTCCGGTACTAGCCCCTACGGCATCGGCATCGGTGCGCGTGATCCACCTGCCACTTCCAGGAGCGTCTGCCGCTTACCCCGTATTTTGCGAGTAGTCGAGTCTGCGTGTACACGGTAAGAGGAGCCACGCAGGGTCCTGGCAGTTGCTGTACGTTCACTTTAAAAACTCCAGGGCATCTTTGTGTTGTGAAGTTCAGCACCAGCTCGCGTTTCTCTCCAATAAATTATAGAATGGTTGGGTTATGATATTAAATCTCGGAATATGTGTCTCCAAAACCCTAAAGTCCCTAGCACAGGATAGAACTGCTCTTTTGATACTTGGGAATGGGTAACTGCTAGATTTCTTGTGTCATAGGTCCTGCAGCCTCTAGAACGACATCATCCATGGGCTGCACAACAGTGACCTCCTCTGGTAATTTGAATGTTTCTTGCCAAAACAGCATGAGGCCATGCAGGTGGG